CTCATGGCTTCACTGAGTTATGCAAGCCCCTTCACCAGGACAAGGCAGTGATCCATGAAGGGGTCCTTTTACTTGCTCACTTCAAAACGTTCTACAGAGGATGTGGGATCCCCTGGAACATATTATTATAGCAAGAAAGACTGCAAGGGAAAAGTATTCACTCTCATTATATGAGCAGAACCCAGAAATACTGCATTGGATTTAACACCTTTACTTTATCTATCCTGAAATGCTACTAATTCTGTTAAGGCATTATCTGTAGCCTGCAATACACACAATTCTGGATAATTCCCCTTCTCCTTACCAATGTGATTTGTGATTCCCATGGACCTCCAAAAGTTCAAAATTGTACTCATTATACCTTATCCCTTGATTTCAGAGTTCCAAGTAGTCTTATTTCTAAAGTACAGGTTGCCCTGATGGATGATATATAGTAAGAAAGAGATGAGGAATGTGAAGAGATGAGGGCACGGTTATTACCCTGCCCATTCCCATACACTCTTTAGGTCATCAGTGGGGAACTTCTGCTTGTAAATCAGGGCCCATATTATTAAATAATTTGCCACTCTTTGACTTTTTGATGCTACTGGTTTAACGTTTGTTTTAATAATATTTCTAAGCTGTCTAGAGCTATTAAGAGATGGATAGCATATAAACTTTTTTAGTAAATAAGTAATGAATAAGCAAACCAATTAATAACAGAAAGCTATGGCAAACTGTGCATGGTTTTCAAAAATTTCCTTCTTAAGCCATATTCCATTAGAATAGAGCAAACCAGAGGAAACCAAAGAATGGAGTGGGTGAAATTCTCTCAACCTTGACCATAATATAATTTAATATATCTCACATTGAAACATCTATGACATATTGACCAGGAAGGAATTATGGACTGCTGCAATACAAATGAATTATACTAGTAAATGGGTAACATATTTTGGACTGTTAACAGTCTTATAATTAGATTAGATTAGGAAAAAAAAATAATTGTATGTGTAACAACAGTTTATATCAGATGTTCAAGAAGTGAGGGAAAAAACAGTGGATGTAAATCAGTTAAAGAGAATTTATCTCCTGGCTGATAGAACAAAAAGGAAACTTACCATCTATCCCTCCCATTTACTTTCATTTAAGGTAACACACTGACTATCAGGCTCTCGCTTACAACATTGAGTATACTGGCATAGTAAAGCACTGTCTTTATACTGTGATATTTTGCCAATGTACTGTACACTTTAAAATTGAGTTCATTCTGAACTACAAATCTGTTTGCCATGATGCATGCAAAATATTATTTTCATATATCCCTTTCTGTCTTTAAAATAATACAGGGCAATTATCTAGCACTATTTCAATTAAGGTCTTACTATGCATCTCATTTAAACAATATACCAGCAAATTAGCATATGGGATTTTTTTGAATGAAGCTATATCTGAAGATGCAATAAATAATCGGGAAGGATATAAAATAATTGGGGAAGGGAAGCAATATTTAATCATTAGAATTTAATTTATTCATCTTACCAGATTGACACTGAAGCCCGAAGAAACCAAATGGGCAAGCACATATATTTGGGCGAATACAGGTCCCACCATTTAGGCAAACAGGTTTACAAACAGCTGTCCCAAAGAAAAATAAAATGAAAACTTATTTTAGATAAGGAGGAAAATATCAAATTCTTCCCTGCTCCCTCACCATATTTTAATGAAGAGCAGAAAACAATCCTGTTTTAAACAATGGCCACAGACCCATATTTTTTCTAAACTGTCATTGGATTATGAGCAATGAGACATTTTCTCATGCAGAATCACAGTCATATTTTATTTAATATTTGTTTTGCAATCTTTTTCTTCAGGTGCATCTCTATTTCTCAGGTAGTTTCAGAAAAGTTTCTACCTTCCCTGTCCATTGTGGAAACAGTAAGACTTTTTTGACTGTGATGAAATGTGATAACACTGAAGTCCATCATATACTGGCCAGTATTTACCGTTTATAGCATAAAGTATTTTAGCAGTTTTGTAAAAAAATGAGGTTTCTATCAAGAAAATCTATCAACTATAGAAACTGACATTTATGTACAAAAATCATCCATGTTGCCCTGTCTTGAATAAGACAAAACACCTTAAGAGGAATGGGACTTGCTTTATTGTCTGAGGATAAAATGAATTGAATTGTAAATATATATTTCAATGTTTATTCAATGTTTATCTAGTGATCTGAACAAATCTATAAAGTATATTAACTTGTATGAATTAAGATGAACAGTTAGACATAAGTAATTTTGGCTGATATTTGTGTTTGCTTATTTCTGTGTTTGCATATGTTAGTAAATGTGTAGTACAGTACTACTATCAGTGAAAACTAATTGAAGCAAATTGCCATGAGAACCATTAATATTCAAGTACTTTAATACAAATCTGTGCCTTATTTGACCTGGATACACAAGCTGTCACATATACAAATGTGATTCTTAAGAGTTATTAATATAAACTGGAAGAAACAACATAAAATATGTAATAAATTCCGTGTTTATTGCTAAATACAATACATCTTTTACTCCACTGTTAGTGCATTCACGTTTATTACATTTTTGTTGCATAATAATGCCAATTAGAAAACTGACTTGTGCCATTCTGTTTCCTTTGAATCTAAAGAGCATTTAGAAGACTGCTTTTCTTCACATTAGACTTATAGGGAAAAATAGGACAGAAATAATATTAACACTAATAATACTTACAGGGTTACACTGATTACTGTATATTGTGATCCTTTTTTCTCATTTTGTATTAATCAGAAAATGGAATATTGTATATAGCCAATGCCATGTGTCAGGATGTACAACCTGAGATTTATAAAGACAGCCCACTAGTGCTATATTGTAGCCTGTTAGATTGTTAATAATTCAGAAAAGTGGTCCCAGCAGAAGCAGGTTTATTGAATCATTACTTGGGCATTGTTTATGGCTTGTTTGCTTGATTTGCTTGGTGCATTCCAAGTTGTGTAAACTTGCCATACAAAACTTGCCCACCACCAGTTTTTACCAAATGATACCCCTGGTTCCATTTACTTCACTCCTGCCTATGATAGAAATTCAGAACCTGGGATTCCTTAATGGCACTGGGCACTACCACAAAGTCCCACCCAAAGCAGCCATCACAGTATACTCCTATCACAAGAGGAAAAAGCAAATATGTGTTAATGAAAGTTAAATGGAATTAAATCAGATTTAGCATTTGTCCCAGCCCCAGCTAATTTTTAAAGTGTAGTTTCCACCAAGGCCAAGTGCAGCTTATAGGTTAAAAGGACCCACATTTCCTCATCTATAGTGACTGGCAGAATTTGAATGTGTGTGTGTGTGTGTGCGTGTGTTTGCCAGCCTTATCTGGGGATGCTAGATGCTGCTGCTTACAAACATCTTCAAAGCATGTGCTTTTCCACTTATGGTCCTTCCTTGAGGGTTTGGGACACATAATAATTCTTTGGGGCTGAGGGCTCTACTTTTCTTAGGATAATGTGCCAGAGTCTATACTCCAGGAAGTAATAGGTTTAGCTAACATAAAATTAAATGTTTGACTTTATTTGTTTCTACTTAATTAAAACTAATACCATTAAAATTATTACTCTTCAGTCATACTATAAAACATTTTCCCTTCTGCCACATTAAAACTTAGTAATCATTTTTGAAGGTCCCCAAGAGTCACAAAAGAAGCTTCAGAGGCTGCGTACAGACCTAAGACTGAGTCATCCACCTTGGCTTTAGACAACTCACCTTCACATTTGGCTGTTAGTCTACTTTCCTTGTTTTCACCTATCTAAGACACGGATGCACTGTTTTTTTTCCTAATCAAAGGGAAATGCATCCAGCTCAGTGCTTTCAGAATGGTCTAAGAGACCTCTGGATTGAATGTATGAAAGTCACAGGTAGAACCAGACATGTGGGCAAAGGGTACAGAGAATTGATATTAGAGTACTGTGTCTTTTGGCAGTTGCACATACCATAATTAATATACATGAATGCCAAATGTTACCTTGTCTAGTCTTCAAAACAAATCAAGCAGCTACAAATGTAAGGACAGGGGCATTATTCAGTATTCTACAAAAGACAAGTTAGTTTTTTGTGTGGGATGGTGGTTACGGGTGGAGCTGCGTTATACTTTGATACCAGGCCCAGATAAATGTTTTATGGGTACTGCATGCTGTGCCTTCATGGAAATACTTTGTAAGATGTTGTTACCTATTTCACATAAAGGACTGCTCCATCCAGGCTTGCATTGACATTCGTCTGGTGCCACACATCTCCCACCATTGTGACAATGCTTATTACAAACCACTGAAAAACAAATTAGAGCAAGGTTAATTATGCCAATTATTAGTACCTGAATTTTGCTTTAAATTATGCTGATTGAAATCCAAGGCAGCCACTGAAAGCTTCTCAAGCATTAGATTATTAAAACCGAAATTCAAATGTCATGTAACCCCTTCCTTTCTTAGTTAACAGTATTTTCTTTTAACATGATTCACACAGAAACATCTTTTAAACATCTTTTAGATATATTTGTAGAGAGGTGTTAAAAATCGATCAAGGACAACGTGACATTCAGTCACAAACCAAGGAATGCAGTTAAGATATCATAATATATGTGTACTATTAAATTGTGACTATTCTTCTCTCATATTATTTATTAGCTATCAAAAATGTAGGAAAGCTTGATAAATTTACACATGGATAATAGTATACCTACATGTTTCACATCTTGAACCAACAAATCCATACGCACAGGTACAGATATTTTGACTGATACAGGTCCCTCCATTTTCACATGGTGGATCACAAAGTGCTGTATAAAAGAATAGAAAAACTGATAACTGGATTTATAATAGATTAGCTATAATGAGGATCCTGTTGATCTGCATTCTACCACTGACATTTCTGTGCTTTATTGTCTATAAAATCAAAGTGATGAGAGGTTCAGTCCCAAGCGTTGTAGCTGAAATATGATTAGATGGGCAGGGGGAGGGTTGTTGCCTTGATTAACACCACAGCATTTCATTAGTACTGAAGAAATATTGTAATGGCATTTTAAAAAAAATAGTTTTCAGATGAGATTGCTAGAAATGAAGACCTAGACGTAACTGAAATACTAATGAAAGAAGCATTTTAATGGCATTAGTGGAAGTATGAATTAACAAAATGTTAAAAGGAAGGAGTAAGACTAGCACTTGACATACTACTCAGGTGGAAGGACTCTGGGCACTTAAAGGGAAGATGCAACTGACTGTACTGCAACTCCTTCTCCTTGACTTGTAGATGGAGTAAAGAATGGAGAGAAGAGCTGGCTGTAATTCTGAAGGCTTTTCTGTGCAATATTAGAGTGTACAATCATCAGTTTCCCTTTAAGGCCTTACAGACTGGTGCTTCTGTTTGCCCTTTGCTTACAGTATTATACAGCCTACAAGGAATATGAAAGAAAGAAGAGAAGGCCCTTTAAGGACTGAAGAACTGGAATGCAAACAGAATGGGCAATATTCCAAATATGAAATGGATACCTAAAACCTATTTTTGTACTAATTCCATGAAAACATCTTGGTGTATATTATCTCTCTTTATTAATATGGAATTATAATATGGGCCCAGGAGGAGAGCCTTCTCTGTTGTTGCCCTGCCCTTTGGAATATTCTCCCCCAGAGGTGTGGTGGGCCCTACCCTCCCGGCTTTCCAGAAAGGACTAAATACCTGGCTCTGCCAGCTTGCGTGGGGCAATAAGAGTTTTAATCAACCCTGGGGGTGGCAAACACCCTGATGATGCTCCCCAAGCCTAATACTCACCAATTACCATCAATTCTTGGAATATATTTATTATTTATTTAGGACTACTTTTATATTGTATTTTTAATTAATTCTATCCTCTCTGTAAACCACCCAGAGTTGCTTTTTAACAAGATGGGTGGTGACAAATTTGAAATATAAATAAAATAAAAATTATCCCTCTAAAAAGACAATAATTATTTACTGCATTAAGGTAGGGATTAATAACACTGTGCCTATAGATACAAGGCTGTGCCATATAGATGATTCCTGCAAAAAAAAAAATTTTTTTTTAATGCTAAGGACTGAATTCCTTAAAGCCTGAAATGCACCTAGTGTATTTTGCTACTATATTGATCTGCTGGTTATTCATGAGCCATATTGATGTGAATCTAATGTTTCTTATTTGCTGGACTCAGTTCTGTGGTTGTTTGTGCAGGGAGGCTGAAGAAAGCATAGGTAACTGTGGCTTCCATTTTTTCACTGGAATTTATTATTATTTTTCTAAATAATCCCTTTAATCAATTTTTCAGTAGAATGGGTGATTAGCAGAAGTCTTTGTGGCTCTAGGATGAAAAATGAGGTAATTAGGGTCTTGTTTTTAATTTCCACTCTTATTTATTGATGAATTTTGAAAAGTTTTTAGTTTTATTTCATTGGATCACAGTCCACTGAAATGTTTTTGTCAGAATGTTCTAATAAAGATGTCCAGAGCCTATAAGAATATATATTTATTTTGTATACACATTATGTCTATGCTTTTTTTCTTTACTAATTACCTCCTCATTATATTTTGTGTTTTAAAGAATACTGAATTGTATTGTGCCAAATCATTAAGTTATTATTTCATATACTTTCATATAGAGAAGCTGAGCTTGCTCCTGTGATGATCTTTGCCTGCCTGCTTCCTCTTTTTTTCAGGGATCCTTTCCATGTGGCAAATGCTAATGTAAGAAAGATCTATGAATAATATCTATATAGTTTTCCCAAAAATTAAATGTAATTAGATAAATGACTTTCCAACTACATTCAAATGTTATTCCCTTGACCCTGATTTCCATAGCTTTTTAAAAACCTATTCTTGTTCACATATTCTAATGCCAGCAGAAAACTATAAGCAAAAAAATACTATTCTGCAAAAGCAAAAACATATTGTAATAGGTTGTAATGCTGATTTATTTGGAAGTAATTCCCACTTAATTCGATAGGAATTATTTCACAGTAAGCCTATTTAGTGGGCCTGTAAAATGCTTTGGATTCAAAAACAAAGAGGTTTTAACTATAGGATGGAGTGAGTGTAGCACTTGACTACAACTTCTTAAATCAAACACGTCTTGTGCAGGATCACACAGCAGCTGCACAATCCCAGGAAAAGCCTTACAGGCTTTGCTATTAGGCAGGTTAGATACCATAAAGGTTCTATGCACGGGGGAACTAAGAAACAAGATGCACATTCAATTACACATATGTTTCTTGCTTCTAAATAGAGATGTCTTTTAAATTGGTTTTTCATATGTATTATTTTAAATAATGCCATTATTTAAATATTATTTAAATTTAAATAATACAGCAGTCTCACAACTCTGGAATTGCACAAAAATCAGTGTTGTGTATTTGTGTCCAATTTTTATATTTAGAAATATACACACTGAAATAAGATCCATTTCAGTGTAGGTGCATTACTGAATTTATATTAACAGAAATGAAGCAGCTCATAAGAAATTCAGTTTGTTACTCTGGATGTTCTCCAATGAAGGTGAACCTATCTTCAGCTTCTGAGTTTACTTAAATAAGCAACCTATTCTAAATACATCTCATTAGAGAGTTTCGTAAAATTACTGATCACAGGCACTTCAAGTGTTGTTACAATCTCACTGTTTAAAATTGATTTACATATACAGGAATGGTGCTTGGTGAATAGTAGCCATAGTAAATTATTTATCAATATCTGGAATAATTGTTAAGTTGTGTGAAGCTTTCATTCAAATATCTGATTTTAAGATGATTTAATGAACTTATTTCTTCAAACTGAATAATCAAATCAGTTCTATGCACTGAACTGAATCAGTTGTCTTTGAATCAATCAAAAGATCTGATGGACTTCTGCACATGCACATGCACCCTTGAATTGAATCAAGTCATCAAACTGCAAATTTGAATCAAATCTACTCCTTGGATCAAAGTACAAATTCAAACTGGATCTTAGTTTATTATCAGACATATCGTAATTGCATAATCAAGTAGGTTTCATGTTTTGAGTCAGTGGAGAAGGCTTTATACTTTAACTGTATGGAACAATACAAGGAGTTACAGTAGATTATATAATTTTTAGACAAACAGTAGCAAAATATATTGCAGCTTTTGTCCAGCAGAAGCTGATTTTCCCAGTAGTTTGAGCAATGTAAGTATATTCCATCACAATATTTTAAGAGTCACTGTAGGCATACAGATGAGGAGCACCAATTCTATTTGATTAAAACATTTGTAAGTATGACTTAAATTGTGACCACTGTGTTCTAGTTAGCTACTAATAAGTAATACTACTAAGTGGACACCAAAAATAAGACTGCCATTTGGCCCAGAGAGATGGTGAAAGTGAAACTGTGAAGTCTCATCTGGCTGTTGCCTGTCATCACTTGCCTTATTGATACCTGTGGAAAACAGGTTCCTCCCAGGATCAGCCTTTGACTGACTGCACCAAATGCCTGGGGCTTAAAATTAATGCTGCCCATGTAACTCTCTTTTTAACTCTTCACACTTTTATTTTTGTGGGTACCAGTAAAGTGTGGGATAAATAAGGACTGTTGGCTGAATCAAGAATATTCTCTGGGGAGAGTGAAGAACAGAAAATATTCTGGGACTGAACAAAGCAAAGGGAAATATAGCGGGAAAGAACAACTGGATTGTTTCAAGGAAAGGACGGCAGGTTAATGATTGGCTGCCCTTTCTTTCAAGTTGCAGCCTAAACAAGGAAATCAAAATGATATGGTCCTGTTCTTCAACATGAGAGCAGTTGCTAGCATATTTTGGTCTGGCCAGTACATGGAGACCTGGCTGACAGAAAAGGAGTGCTTATCACTCCTAACAACTCTGCAACACAACAGGTTAGAACAAGAGGAGATGGAGATAGAGTACCAATGGTCTCTAGGAACTCCATTTCATTAGCCAGATACTCCACATGATAATCTGTCAGTTTTGAATGCATGAAGCTATATTAGGTGGCCAGGATTTCATAGGAATACCATTACTATCCACTACTACAAGTTTCCCTTCCTAAGATAGGCAGGATGATCTCAAGTGTGTTGTTGGATTATCCTAGGTTCCTTGTCCAGGAGGATTACAATGTGCATGCTGAGACTGTCCATTGAAGAACAACGTAGAATTTCATGTCCTCTTTGAACGCCATGAACTTGTATCCTTTAGTATCTGGCCCTTTACATCTTCACATTCTGTTTGGATGGGACTGATGATCTGAAGGTGCAGGATCCCTATATGAAACCAATGTCATAGAGAAATCACTATCCAGTCAGTTTTAGATGGGTTCAAATCATTGTCACAAGTACCAGATAAGGACTAGGTTATATAGGAATGCACCAAGGTTGTATAAGGTCTCCTTATTTATTTAATTAAATTGGCTAGGACAACTTGGGAAACATGGTTAATTGAAATTAATGCTTCCTCAGGTGAAGGATATATTTCTCCCTATCTGTAGGAGGCACTTCTAAGATTTCTAACGAAAAAATCCACCCTTGACCTGAATGGTATCTACAATTATGGGCCTGTCTCATAAATTTAATTTCTGGGAAATGATCAAGAAGGTGGTAGTCTTACCCATGCATGCATATGAAAGATTCTGATTATCTGGATCTAATTCAATCAGGCTTTTAGCGGAACTGAAACTGCTTTGATTATTTTTGGGGAAAGGGCAGCCTTCCTAATTATCTTGGAATTCTCAAGTGTTCATTGTCATCAACCACAGTATCCTTCTGCTTCAGGTGGGGGATTGGTCTTTGGGGTCACAGTTTTACAATG